GGATGGTATTTTTATCAATACGTGGTAGATGCACAACCTGTGGTTCGATTTTCGATGGGAAAATTATTGATATCCCTGCAATGCAGTGGCGTGGCGTGTGTATTAACTCTTTCCGGCACGGTGGGATAAACGTAATCCCACCAAAAAAATAACCCATTCGACACGGTGGGACAAATAGCATACCACCTATAAAATATTTTTTTTCTATTTTTGAATCGTCTGTTGGTTTAATTTAAGACATTTAATATGTTTTTCATTATATATAGCTTTTGTATATAAATTCTTAGAAAGCTAACATTATTAAATATAATTTAATTAATTTTTCCAAATTATTAGTTTTAAATATTTATTCTTAAAATCTAAATTTTAATTTTCTCCTTATTGAATCGATCAATTAGTTTGATTATTATTTCATTGAATTCCAAATATAATATAGTTTATTTTGGTTTTGGTTTTAATAAATTATTCTAAATATATGGCCTAATATTTGCGTAAAAGTGAGCATCCATTATATGTCCCACCGTGCAATAACGTGAGTATTCGTAATAGACACCGACGGTAATACGCGTACTGTGCGAATTCGTTTGTTTATTATTCGTTGGAGTGTGTGATTTTATTATTTTATTAAAATGGCTAAACGTTATTCAGACCATGAAGTAAATAAAATATTATTTGAAGATTTACCATCAGATGATGAAAGTTTGTCGTCAATTGACGATACCGATGACGACGAAACATACGTATGTTCCTGAATCTAATCATGATACATTATTAGTAGAGCGCGGATTTCTATGCATTGCATATTTTTTTCCTTTTAATATTTTTGGATTTTTGTCAGTTATCTCCACGAATTATCATAATTTGAAGCTAATGGTGAAATTTTTTTTTGCATATTTCTGCATATTTGAAGGTTATTTTTTTTAGTGCATACGTATGCACATATTTCATTGTTTTTAGCGCATAAAGTTCCGAGCCCTGATTGTAATATATTCAGTATTGTTTATACTTTATATATTGAAGTATCCAACACTAAAATATGTAAAAATAAAAATAAAAATAAAAAACAATATGTGTAAAATAATAATAATTTCTTGTAAATTCTTGTAAAAATAATTTATATAATATAAGTAATATAATAAATGTATTATATTATTTCATGGATTATACATACTTTTTTTTTAGAAATAATTAAATTTAAATATTAAATATTACTATTTAAGAACAATAATGATTCCGCATTTTTCATTGACAATCTATTTCGTCGATCTGATATAGTGTACACAGCTTAAGAAAAAATGCGTTCGCACGGCACTGAAGTTGAGGGAACACATAACCTTAACAATGCTAATTGGAACAAATTTGGATAAACCATTTTCATCTATTTCCACCACATTAATGGATCCGATTTCCTATCTAACAAGGGCTCATTTAAATATTTGTTAATTTCAATAATAGCTTTAGATTTTGGAGTGCTGATTATAGTAGATGCAGAGGCCTGTGAAAAATCGATTATTATTTTAAAAGTTAAAACAAATAAAACTATGTACTTTCTAACTAACCTGTAAGTCGAAGTCTTTCCAAATATCTAATTGTTCTTTTTCATTTGAATTTTCTTGAACGGCATTTACTTCGTTTTCCGACAAATTATGTTTTTCCATTTGAATAATTGTTGTAACACTTTGAATAATTTTCTGGTATGCACGTTCATATGATGTTATATTAATAAAGCCTTTTTTTTTTTTAACCTTGGATCTAATATTGTTGCTTCTGTCAATAATCGTTGTTCTCCAATCCCGTCAAATTGTTTTTCTGCATTTTTTTCCATACCTAAAAGCATAGAGTATATGCCAGATGGTAAATTGGCATCTTTTCTTTTTTTTTAGATGTGATAATTAGAGCGCGGATTTCTATGCATTGCATATTTTTTTTCCTTTTAATGTTTTTGGATTTTTGTCAGTTATCTCCACGAATTATCATAATTTGAAGCTAATGGTGAAATTTTTTTTTGCATATTTCTGCATATTTGAAGGTTATTGCATATTTTTGCATATTTTGACAAAATTCAAAATTTATTGCATATTGAAGCGAAAATTTAAAAAAATGTATAGGATAATATTTTGTCAAGTAGAATGATTTAAAATTTATATCTATTCATTTGGCATTTTTAGTGATAAAAATAGTCATAAAAAAAACTGGAAACTCGAAATATGACTTTATATCTAAGCTTTTCAATAATTGACGAAACGAAAGAAAAAATGCATTCTATTCCTGGATTGAAAGGTGTAACACTTACAACAAAATTAAACGAGCTTTCCAATAAAAATGAAGGTCTGAAAATTCTACGAAAAATTAATTCAGTGTTATTAAGTGAAAACGTTCATCTTGAAGATCTTTATCAAGATCCGACAATACTAAGTTGCTTCAAATATGCCCCAATAACTTCGTTTGACATCAAACGTTCGTTCTCAGTCTTTAAAAATATGTTAATCGATAAATGATACAACTTCACAGAAGAAAAACTTGAAATGCATATGATTATTAATTTTAATAATAAATACAATTTTAAAAATAAATTAAGTTTAGAAATTATTTATTATTAAGTATTTAAGTAATTAATTATTATAAGTTTTATTGTAAATTTTAAATAAATAAAAAATTCTTGTATATTTTTGCATATTTTCATAATTTTGACTGCATATTTTCATTATTTTTACTGCATATTATATGCCATATTTCGATACTTTTAAGTGCATAAAAATCCGCGCTTTAGTGATAATAAAACATTACATAGTATAATGACTTTTTAAATCGATAATCCTTTTTCAAAATTAAGCTCAATTGTCATTTCTTTAATTGACTTAAAAATACTGCAATAATGTTCCATTATATCAAAATCATAGGATAATAAATTTTCAATTTTACCAATAAGTGCTATTGTAGATATTAAAGGATCTTTAATATCAATAGACCTTTGGAACATATCGTACGTACTGTTCCAACGGGTAACAACGTCTTGAATTAATTTAAGTAAAGGTAGACCCATTTGTGTTTGTGTTTGTTTTAATTTAATGTATGATTTTGTTGATCGTTTAAAAAATTCTACAATACTTTTAACTTTTTTTGTGAACAATTTGTATGTCTGATAACCCACTTTGTGCAATTAAATTTATGCTGTGTGGCAAGCATGGCATATAACGCCAATTTGAATTTAAACTTATTGCATTTGTAATATTAACCGCATTATCACTAACAGCAATTTTAATTTTTTTCAGATATTTCCCATTCATCGAAACATTTATTCATAAATTCAGACAAATTAATTGCAGTATGGGCTTGTTCGAAATAATAGCACCCTAATAAATATGACTTTAAAACATTATACTATCTATATAATGGACTGTTATACCGACGAAACTATCGTTGTTCAAAGACGTCCAGCTATCAGTAGTAAATGCTATATATTTGGCATTATTTAAATTAGTTTTTACTTTTTGTTTATTTTTTTTCTAATCATTGTGGTATGATGGACTTGGAAACGGTTTTTCTAGAAGGAATTGAGTAATTAGGATTTAGCATATTAACAAATTTTCTAAATTCAACGTTTTCAACAACACTAAATGGTTGAAATTCTTTAGCTATCATAATTCCTAACTGCTCGTCAATTTTTTGCGATTTATTCATTGACAGTGGTCTTGGTATAAATGAGTCCATCACTGTTTGAGATTGGGAGGTTTTAATAGATGTATGAGTTATTTTAGAAGTCAAAAGTGAAGATGTAGACGGTTGGTATTGTGTTTCAGAAGTATTTTGCTGGACAAAAGCTGTATTAGGGTCATCAATATTTTCCTCTAGATCTAGATTATCAGTCTTTGCAGTGCAAATTTTTTTCCTAACATCATATTGTATAATGTGTTTTCTTTTTAAATGCCTACTGAGGTTTGCGGTTGAACCACCTTCATACGAGTACGAAACCGAACAGTATTTGCATTTTGCTGACTCGTTACTCGCTGTAGTAAAATGATACCAAATATCGCTAGTTTTCCTACTCATTATTAATAATTAATAAAAGTAAAATAAAATAATTACCATAAATAATAATTGTCAAACGAACTACGACTAGCCGATAAACAAACCACGGAGTAAATGACTCGATTATCTTTATAATAAAATTATTCATTATTATTATAAATATAACCATTATTGATTATAATCAAGCTATTTTTAAATTTTTATAGTCCCATTCCTATAAATAGATAATAAACAGTAGCAAGTATTGTACAGCTTGGAGTTTTCATAGTCGATAGCCGACGTACAAGTGTACGAAGCACCAATGCGCGAGAGCGCGGTGGAACGTTTGAATTAAATAATGTATAATAATAATAATAATATGACAGCATAGTAGTTTTGTGGTAGTAAACTAGTAAAATACGTTATAATATTGTTGTAATAGTGGGGAATATACGTTAGGAATGGAGTGTGTATATCACAAAATAAGACTCAATTCGGTACTTCGGTATTTGGTGTAATCGGTTCTCGATACGACTGATACAGTGATACGGACTAAGGAACAACTTGGTTTTGGACCTATTGCACTTAAAAAAGAACGTATAGGTGGAATCGTTCCGATTCGTTCCCCCACTGGACTCGTTCTATTGGAACGATTCGTTCATGAACGCGTCACTACTATTTAGTTTTTAGTTGTTGTTTCCCGTTGGAACGCAGTGTTTTAAATTTAATATGGAGTGTTCAGATATAATTAGTGAAATTTTAAAAGTAGGAATTCATAACTATTCATTCGAACATAAACTTGAATTGAAAAAACAAAAAACCAACACCGCGTTTAATTTTGGAAACGGTTGATGGGAATACTATACGAAAATTTCAAATATCATGGTACACAAAATATGCGTGGTTAGCTGGAAGTGAAAATCTTGGTAAATTATTTTGTTATTATTGTCTACTGTTCTGTGGAGAAAAAAACATGGGTTGGTATTTCTGTTATGAAAAATTTTGATCGTAAAGCATCTAAACATGCAATAAGTAAAACACATTTAACTTCCCAAGAACAATTTATGTTGCTTGGGGCAAATCGAATTGAACATGCATTTTCGGAAGGACGTCGTTTGGCTGCTATTAAACATAATGAAAATGTCGGTGTTAATCGTCGCATATTTACACGTTGTTTGTTTTTTTGGGAAAGCAAGAAATTGCTTTCCGGGGTCATAACGAAGATAGTTCTTCTATAAATAAAGGCAATTATTTAGAACTTTTAGATTTACTTTCTCGAGAAGAGCAACTGCTCAGAGAACATTTTATGTCGAGTTCAGTTTTTAAAGGAACATCAAGCGATATATAAAACGATTTAATTTCCTGTATTACTAGTGTGTTAAAAACAAAAATTTCAAATGAATTGCAAAAAGCAAATTTTATTTCTATTCAAGTAGACGAAACAACAGATGTATCTTGTAAATCTCAAATGAGCATTATATTTAGATATGTAGTTGATAACAAAATTGAAGAAAGGTTTATAGGATTTTACGATGTATCAAAAGATAAATCTGCTTTTGGGCTATCTGAAATTTTATTGACAGAAATAAAAAATTGGAATATAGGCGATAAACTAGTGTGTCAAACATATGACGGAGCAGCTGTTATGGCAGGGCAAAAGAATGGAGTTCAAGCCATTATTAAACAGTCGTATCCAAAAGCAATGTTCATACATTGTTATGCCCACCAACTTAATCTAGTGTTTCTACACAGATCAAAATTTATAAAATCTGTTAAAATATTTATAAGTGATTTGACTATGTTTCATACATTCTTTAGTAGATCGCCAAAATGGAGTCAACTTTTAAGGGAAAAGGGGTTTAAACTTCCTCAAAGCTGTGAAACGAGATGGAATTATCACTCCAGAGGTGCTGCAACTATTACTACCCATTTTATAGAATTAAAAAAAAGCGATAACTTGTATTACAGACGAAGACGACTGGGATCCAACAACTGTTAGTATGGCTTATGGTTTATTGCATAAGCTATCAAATCTTAAATTTGTTTATTTACTTTGCTTGTTTAAAAAACTATTTTTTATACTCAGACCATGTATTTTTAATACTACAGACTAAATGTACAGCCAATGTTCAATATTGTGTCAATCAAATAAAAATATTTTCTGATCAATTAACTGCAATGAGAAAAGAGAAAACTATATCAATATGTTGTAAATCGGCGATAGAGTTAAATTGCGAACTACAATATTCAGAAAAAAAATAAGATTGATCTCAAAACTCTAACTTGAAATATTAGATTCTATAATAGTACAAATTGAAGTTCGATTTAAAGATTTCATAAATTTAGAATTCGTCGAACTTACAAATAATATGTCGTTTAAGAATTACAAAAATAATTTCCCAGTGGATAAACTAATGGAACTGAAAAATAATTTTCCAGGCATATTTAACTTAGAACGATTACAGAATGAATTGGTAATAATTTATAACAGCCCTGATAAATATTTAACACCAAAAGATTTATTCAATTATTTATACAAAAGTAAGAATATAAATAATTATAATGTACATTTCAATTAAAAATATTTATAATTATTAATAATTTTTATTTAATTTAAACAATTTACTAGATGTATATCAAGAGCTTTTAAAATTGCTACAATTAGTATTATCCATCCCTCTAACAACGTCTTCCAGTGAGAGGAATATGAGTGCTTTGAAACGTATTAAAACATTTTTTTAAGAAATTCTATGAACAATGACCGATTGTCAAATTTGTCATCACTGGCCATTGAAAAACAAATGTTGAACGAGTTATCCACAGATCCTACATTTATTGATGAAGTAATTAATTTATTTGCAAAAACAAAAAATAGAAAAATAGATTTAATACATAAAACCATATAAAAAAATTGTATGTTATAATGTATTATGAATAAAATAAGTTTATTTATGTATTTTTGTTTAAAAAATATTATTTTATAAATTTGTCTACCCTAATTCTGAACACAAGCTTCGCCACTGAGCGTTTCCATTTTTTAGTAACATTACTGGAGTTATTGATCTTTTTAAATTTAAATCAATCAATTCAAAACCTGGCTGATAAACAATAAAAGAACGCGATGACTTCATAGATCTTAATTTATTATCTTGTGATCTTCCTTTTTTGTTCCAATTTTCAGTTGGATTAAACTGCTTGAATTGAACTTTGTTTGTCGCATCTTAGACACAATCTTTGTTCTCCACAACCTTCTTCTGTTTTTGGAATTGAAATTGAGCACCTAAATAAATTAACGGGTGTATTAAAATTGATACATTTATGAATACCTGTGGGTAAATTGCCATCATTACATGGCGTACACGAAGATTGGGTATCGGAGTTATTTGTTTTTTTCTAATATTGTTTCTTGATAATTATTTTCATTTTCTTTGTTATTAATTTTATCTTGATCTACTGTTATTGGTTCAATTCTGTGTGGTGGTGATACGTCTTTATTAATTACATTTCTTTGAACCAACAAATGGTCTCTTCTATAATATTCAGTTAATTTTTTGATAAAGGTATTAACTCTAAGTGGCATTTATTCATTTTTAAACACTCTATTTTTCAAGTGGTTAAAATTACTCTCTATCGACCACTTGAAGATGTTTCTTTTCCAAAACCAAATATTTCACCCATAATTCCTGACCAACAAGGATAGAGTTTTAGAAATCTTACAATAATGGGTTCTAGTTCTGGAAGATATTGTGCATTATCATATTCACCTTCAATTTCATTCACAATAACTCTAATCTTGTCAGAAATCGCCTGGGCCCATCTCTTGAAAGAAATTGTAAAATCGCCATTATAATTTTCATTTTCTAATATTTCTTCTTCATTTTCGTTTTCTGTATCATTAGATAAATTTCTATCAACTAGATCGATCTCACTAGATGATATGCGATTTTTTAAATATATTTTGCATTTCATCGTTTTTTTGTTGCGTTTAACAATTTACCATCGTATCTACTTAAAATTACACTAAATAGAGCTTCTAAAATTTGTTCTGCTTCACTAATTGAACTAGAATAAACGAGAAGCCCCATCGTACGTGCTATCAGTTGTTTGGTTCGAACAAATTTGGTATTTTTTAAAGGAGACCATTGTGTAACTAAATGCATGAAATGGTTAATATCATTTTTAATCATACAATGAGGTATTGGAATGTTTTGATTCTTAACAAGAATATTAAAACACGCAACTAAATAATATTCTAACGACTGATATTGAGTAAAGGTATGAACTAAAGCGGACATGAGAGCAAGAGATTGGTCGCTTATAACCAATTTTGGCGATTTTATGCCACACCTAAGCCATCTTTGCAACCGCGTATAAATATACATGCTATCATGTTGTTCTGATAACATTGAACAAACCGTGAAAGTATTGTTGTTTATATTCATAAAACCTTCGAACAGTAAAATCGAATCACTGTATGCATTATAATTTCTCTTAATTTTTTTTTACACATCCTCCGGTGGCATCAAAATATATTGTAGGTACTGTAGTTTTTTCATAATTATCTTTGAATATCTGTAATTGCATATTGCTCCAAAAATGAACAAAGAATTTATCTAATCCAATATCCCTTATTATTGGACCATATGTTGAATTATTTTTCATTAAACCTAAGGATAATATCGGATCAGGGTGTAATTTAGTTGAAGCAATAGCTTTACATTTGGCAACTCTTAAACATGATGAATTTGGGATATGAGCAGGTATTGGATCACCTATGTAAAAAAATATATGTATATCAAATTTAGTCTTAATTTAAAACCACTATAAAATATTTAGAAAAAAGAATGCATGATTTAAAAACCTGAAGTATTACCAAAACAATAAACAATTTTAGAGTTTCTACACATTACGTTGAAGAAATTAAAACCTTAAGTAATTATATTTATTAAAATATTAATTAAAAAAGTATTGAATAATTATTACCTTCTTTCATTATTCTATTTGCTTCATTTCTAGTATAGACGAAAGGGCATATGTTACCATCCAAAATTGCAGCTAGTGCTTTATTTTTTTTCAGAACCTATTATTCTTCTTTTCTTCGAGTGTGGTACGTTAAAATTACCTTCATAAGAACATTTCATTATAACTCTGTTCAAAAATAAAAAATAATTTAAATCAGTAAAGTTTTAAGACTAAATAATATAAGTAATAAATTTAAAAATAAATATATAAAAATAGAATTTTGCTTTAAATATCAATGACGAACTTGGTATTCATTTCAGCAGCGTAGCGTGCATGTAAGCACTGTAAGCACTGCTTACACTTTAAATCAAAGGAATAATAAATTAAATCACGACTAATATTAAGAATATAATATAATATTATATTATTATATTATAGGTAGGTACATAATAAATGATTAAATTTTAAAATTTTATTTTTTATTTATAAAATATTTAAAGTTATTGATAGTAAATAGTGGTTATTGTTATTGTTTTGTTTGTGTCGTGTACTGTGTACTATATTTAGGGAAAATTATCGATTGACGGTCTATTTTTAATCCATTATGTTAACGGCATATCATACATAATACGATTTGTAGTGTAACACATTCTGAAATTGCTTACGCGGAACTGTTGTTTACGAATAGCCTATAACGTCATAGAGTCATAGAAGGGGTCACGTATTTAACTAGCGTTTGTAAGCACATTTGATATTGCTTAAAGCTATGGTTTCTTAAAAAAAGCGGTGCCGTTATCTAGCGGCCGTAATATAGCGTTGGGTGACGTCACTCATACTTTTTCTATAAATAACATCGGAGTAGGTTTCCTAGAGTACGTTGAGTGTCACCGTAACGTCAAATAGCGGTGCTGTCAGTTGCATGACGGCCGTCATAGCGGTGATAAACAGTTGTTCAACGTTTTTCGCGTGTAGCGGTGTGCATATTTAATTAAAAATGAGTGGAAACGTGATTTGGACGAGCGAAAATGACGAACAATTAATTGATTTTGTCAAAAATCATGAAGCTTTGTACAATATAAAATCCAAAGAGTATAGACAAGCCCAGATGAAGCAAAATTTGTGGAACGAAATTGGAATAATACTTCAAAAATCAGGTGTGTACTAAAATTCAGTAAAGTGAAAAACTCAATAAATATTAATTAATTTAATATAAAACACTTTTTTTCAAGCTTAAATTTAATTTATTCAACATTACATTAAATAAAATTTAGAATAGTAACATGTTATTTTTTTGTTATCGATTACGTATTGTCACAGATACTATTATATAAGAATAATGAATATGTTAATTATTATTATACAACAGATGCTTTAAAGTAAAAGTAATTACCACAATAAATACATTATATAATAATCACAATTAATGTCGCATGCATAACTATGCTGCCACTCTACAGCCCCTGGACCGTTGAAATAATTTTTGAATATTTCTCGAATTTGAGTGTGATTCATTTTGGCACGCACATTGTGTTCTGTTATGGGGATTAAATTTTCAGTTTGTAGTGGTAGTGCATCATCAAAATATTTTTTGACCTGGAGCAAGTACTTTTGCTCCCCGTAAAATATTATATAATATGCATGCACATGTAATCAATTTGTCTGTAGTTTCTGGGGTAGTAGCAATAGGTAGGAAAAAGAGTCTGAAATAACCGCATAAAATTCCGAAAGTATTTTCAGCTGTTCTCCGAGCTCTAGATAGTCGATAATTATATACAGCTTTTGATGGATCATGTACAGATTGCTGTCTTGGATAAGGTTTCATCAGGTTTTCGTGCAGAGCAAAAGCTTCATCCCCTACAATGACATGGGGTACAACAGTATTTGTCCCGGGTATTTCTTTTGGTGCTGGTATATTAAATGTATTATTTTTTATCATTTTCCCTATTTGACTCTTTAGGTAGATACCAGCATCGCCCTCTCTACCATAGGAACCAATATCAACAGCAGTGAATTTACAATCCGCGTCAACGACTGCTA